CAAGTTGTTCCACTGATTAATTGTTCTAACTGTCGGGAAATTTCTCCTTAGTTCCAAGTGGCTTCTCTCCTTGATTAGTTTTCACCCATTGCCTCTTGTTCTACCCTGAGGTGTTTTGGAGAATAGCTTGACTCTCTCTTCTTTGTGGCAGCCCCTGAGATATCTTTCTTTTAATAATACCTCCAAAACTAAGCAAACCTGCTGTTGGTTTCTGCTGCCTTAAGCACTCTATATTGCCAGCCCTCCTGGAGATAAAGACTAACATCACAGTGCAATTTGCTACTCATATTGTATGTCCCTGTCATTGAGATTTTATAGCTTGCTTATGAATTGGTAGATACCAACCATCAGATATAGTTTTGAGAGTACTGCTGGTATTAGCGTGGTGAAAAAATCAGATATGGGCCAAAATTAATGACTGATGATCTCAAACTCCTAGCATCAATGATCTGATTTGCCACACAGTATTATCTGAGTTACTCAGAGCATCCCTTAGTTGCTTATCTGGTAGACAACAGTACCAATTTTGTTATCTCACCTTGACTAATAACAGCCTTCCTGTTATTTCCATCCAAATCAGCCCTCTCAATAACATGATGCTTAGCATCTACCCAGTACATCCGATGCCCTGCATAGTCAATAGTTAGCCCATTTGGCCAAAAGAGATGAGTGTCAGCAATAATGCGCCGATTGGAGCCATCCATGTTAGAGTATTCAATGCGAGGAGTGTTTCCCCAATCTGTCCAGTAGATGGTACTATTGGAAAAGAGAGAAAAATGTGAACAGTGGAAGTTCCCTGAAAGGACAGCAGACATTGCTAACCAAAACAGCTACTAGTTTAGCAATCTAAAGCTACAACTGATTGTATTGAGCTGATGAGAGCAAACAAGGATAAAGAGATTCAGGCTATGATTATACAAGACCACAATCTTTATCAATAAACTATTAACCAGAAACTTTTGGTTTCACAAATGAGCACCTACAATGACTTTCTTCAAACTCAGTACACTCCAGATGTACTAAGTTAATTTTCCAGAATTTAGCTAGCATGGTAATTGCTCAGAACTCTGGGAGTTACTTTACACAACTGGAGGGTAATACACTTGAAGAAGGCTGATCTATCCTAACATAGCTTACATTACAGAACACAGGAGACCGTGTTCTTTTAGTAAATCTATCAAAAGAGTACATTAAGTTCCAGTAAATAGAATTATGGTGCAGGATAGTACCAAGTTGAGCGTGTAGAGAAGGTGATTTTTACAGATTCCTTCTTCTATCTGCAGATCTTCTAAAATATGGGGGATGAGATGTTATCAGGTGCAACAAGCCAAAAATAATAAAAGTAATAACACATTTATAAAAAAAAAATCACCAACTCCCTTTTTCCCCCTCTAGGGAAAGTTGTCATTAGTTTTCATGGCATTTTACATATGGAATGTGTTAATTCATTTGTAGACTGGCAAATCTAGATTTGGCTCCAGGCAGCTAAAGTGGAGTCTTCACTCGGCAAATTTCATCTGATAAGATAACAAGCAGTGAGTATCTCATGCTTACCCTTCCATAGGGTGAAGAGCAATTGCACGAGGTTTTTCGAGATTCTTCCAAAGAAGCACTTTCCGATGCATTCCATCCAAATTTGCCACTTCAATGCGAGATGTCCCAGAGTCTGTCCAGTATAACTTGTCATGGATCCAGTCAATGGCTAGCCCACCTAGGATCCAGAGGAAGGAAGAATGTGATAAGTAATGGTTGTTCAAGAATAGTCCCATTGAGCCATGGCTAAGGCTGTCCTGATCTATAAAAGGAAAATGGGAACAAGGGCTGTTTTCCTCTTGTCATATAAATCACTAAAATATTTAGGTGACTATTTGAAATGTCCACTATAACCAATGTCAAATGTCCATTACATTTAAATTTAATTGAAAATCAAGTTAAATACAATTTAATTTATTTTATCCTACGCTTCTAATAATGTTCCTCTTCTTCCCCAGTAAAACATATGATTGGTGGTTACTATGAAAGAGCTCTGAGGGCTGTAACAAGGTTTTAGGAGTTACATTTTACTCTGGAGACTCAGGTTATGCAATTTTAGAGTTGCTTCCGTGAAGATAGGCAACATACAAGTTCGATTCCCTGTTTCCCTAAAAATAAGACCTCCCAGGATAATAAGCCCAATCGGGCTTTTGAGCACATGTGCCAAAAATAAGCCTTCCCCCGAAAATATTGCAACACAGCAGCAGCCATGAGGTGACCATGCTCACCGCCTCCTGCACCTC